GAGGGTGGCTCTGCCTCGCCCAACACCGAGGCCGCGGGCTTCACCTCAACCGACCCCTGAGGTTGGCTCTGCCTCGCCCAACACCGAGGCCACGGTCTCCGCCTCGCCCGACCCCTGAGGATGGCTCCGCCACGCCCGACACCGAGGCCACAGGCTCCACCTCGCCCGACCCCTAAGGGTGGCTCCGCCTCGTCTGACACCTAGGCCACGGGCTCGACTCACCCGACCCCTAAGGGTGGCTCCACCTCACCCAACACCGAGGTCATGGGCTCCGCCTCGCCGACCCCTGACTGTGGCTCCGCCTCGCCCGACACCGAGGTCATGGGCTCCACCTCGCCTGACCCCTGAGGGCAGACTCCGCCTCGCTCGACCTCTGGGGGCGGGCTCCATCTCGCCCGACACCAAGGCCGCGGGCTCCGCCTCACCCAACCTCTAAGGGCTGGATACGCCTTGCTTGACCCTTGGGTTTGGGCTCCGCCTCGCCCGGCCTCTGGGGAGGAAGTTCGCCTCGCCCGACCCCGAGGCCGGGGACTCCGTCTCGCCCAACGGAGACCCATACCGCCGCCAACCACTCCAGGTCCAAGCGTATGGGTCTGGGTCAAAGCTCTGACGCCAGGGAAGAGACTGGCATGCCTCGATGTAGACCGTGACCCACGACAGGCCATACCTGGGGGTTCACGTCAAGAATAGCGTTGGGCATACCATTGCTATTCTGCCTAACCCCCGTATGAATACTGACGGGCGCGTCAGTTCACCACGATGTCCACCGGGATGGAGTGGAGCGCCATGACCGGCAGAGGACGTCTATACATGGCGCCAGTAACGGGCAGGGCCACAACAAGAGGCTTTCCCTGTTGACGTCTATAGGGTCGGCGGGACCCCATAGAGAGAAGAAGGACCGGTGATCCTAAAGGACTTCTTCCTCTCGTTCTCTTCTCTTCCTCCACTATAACCCATGCTTTCCCTTGGCCTAAAAAAGGGAAAGCAGGGCGTCCCATGAAGGGGACTCGACTCGACTCGACTCAAATCGATCGCATCAAAACACATCACACCGATTTGGACTCGAACCCCGAACCGATTAGAACACATAAGCACACAGCCGATAAGCGACCGAGCCCTTGGCACCCATTCGTTCCTCTCACCAGAGACTTGGGACATGTCCCTCTCTCGACCATTTATAACCCCTACTATGAACTTTCAGTGCTAGTAACACGAGCAGCAGCAACGAACTGGACATAGGGATATTCTGCCTGAACTAGTATAAACCTTGTGTCCTCTTAGCACACCATCCGAGTTAAACGCGCAATATTAGAAATTTACTTGTTGGTGGCAACTCGAAACACCGACAAAGATGATAATACAGAAATGAAAATGGATATCAAAGTAACCAATATGATAAGACTCATTTTAGCTACTCATCCATGCTTCGTTCGGTAACAAAAAATTTCAAATAAAAAAAGAAAATGCGACAACTACTCCAGCTTATTGTACCGTCATGCTTAAATCTTCACATGTTAAGCCATCTATGCCTACATCTTCACATGTTTAACCATCTATGTCTATATCTTCACATGTTCAGGTATACAATGCTCAAACTATGCATCTAAGAATGTGGCTTCAATTCATTTTTCTGATGCTGAAATCGATAATTTAGAATTAAAAAAAATACCAATCATAAGAACCATCACACATAGTGGTCCAGAAGTTGGCAGTAGGTGGCCCTGTACATTTCTCCCATGTATGACCAAAAATAAATAATACAGCACCGTACTCACTACAATAGAAAGTAAGATGAAGAAGAACACGCAACAGTAAGACGACCCCTCTGTAGCAACAAGATGACCCCTCTACACATATCACACCCAGAAGCCTATTATGGACACCGATTACAAATTGAGTCAACTCGACGGAGATGCTGCAACCTTAGTACAAATGAGTTACAACGATGCTAAGTTGATAGAGATAGGTGGAAATGTTCTTACAGCAAAAATATTGCGCCCAAATGCCAAAGAGAAATTTATATTAGATGAGGTAATATTATTTCAGATCAATATCGACAATACAAACATGCAAACGCCTACTATGTACTAACTCAAACCTATGCATGTCATAAATGCCTATGCTGTTTTCAATAATGCGGAAACTGATTCAACGTCATTCATAACAACCTTCTAAGCCCCGAAGTAGGCTATGAATATTTTTGGGTCCTTAGTGTAACTAACGCATGACATTCAAGAATCTAATTGCCCACAAATGTATACGAAGAAATTTGGTACATAATATTATGGTTACAATTCCTAGCTACTCAATATCAAAATAAATGCAGCTACTTATTTGTTCCACGTTTTGTGCCAATGAATATTAACAACAACCATTGAGCTCTCCTAGTGCTGAATTTCAAAAACACAAAGGTTCGGATGCTTAATTCTTAGCCTCCGATCCAACAATGTGAGACGAAGGCCAAGAAAAGACCTTGATAAGTACAAACCCTCTATGTAACATGTGCCACTTATTCATCTATAGTTCAAGCAAACTTAACATGTATCTCGCCGTCCACTAGGTGGAAGGCATAACATCATGCATAGACTCTTTGGTCAAGGATGGCTTTGCGCAACTGGAAAACAGTTCCCTATCTTAAAATACCGGAACAAAAAGACGGGCAATCTTTTTCCATTCTATATTAATGTTCTACTCCAATTGCTTAGTGTGGACTAGATAAACCTTCAAAGCCGAAGCCGAAGCCGGAGCCACGCACCGACAAACCGGTTGACGCGGAACTAGTCTCCGACGAACACCGCCCTAGATGAACCTACAACAGTGGTGAATATAGCTGGACCCCACCTAATCTCTGTGGAATCTTTGTGACGCTAGGCCGATGGCAGGCACGGCCAATGCCGCATGGGGCCACCTTGCTCACTATCGGCACTTACGGCTTGGTGAAGTCTAGCTTCAGGGCCTTATATTAGAGTAAGCATAGGTTGATGGATACTTGTTGAGGGTTGGTGAGGAGGGGCCGGACCCTGATATCGCCTCCTCCACCGCCTTCTCCACCGCCCTGCCCTCGCCCTCGCACGCTGCTGTAGCCACAGGCTCATTGGAGCTATCGCCATGAGCGGTGAAAACTCTGAGGCGTGGGTGTGGATGGAGTTGTCGCCATGAGCGGGGAAGGGCGGAGCTAGAATGAAGAACGGAGGGACCGGGGTTGGTGTGGTCAGAGGAAGATATCCATCTACCTATACTACTATAATATAATGCATCGGAACTATACGACTCAAAAGATTATTCTTTTAATCTAAATTTGCTATTTTGCCCTTAATTAAATAAAAAAACTATAAAAATAAAAGAATATTTTTTGTGCCGATCCCACCAATTTAGTATGCATCGGGTGCCTAAGACTGTCTCCAACAAGGAACCTATATGGGCACCCAAACCCAAAATGGGTACCAAGAGATCCAAAATCAGCCTCTAACAGAGTAACTATACGGGAGACCTATTTTGTGTTGCCTGAGACACAACTCAAATATGGGCATCCTCTCTCCTGGAAACTCATTTACAGAAAGGATTCTCTTTTGGGTCTTGTCGTTGGAGAAGATGTTGAATATGTATTGAACTTTTGTCTTTAGTGTTACCTAAAGGACGAATATGTCTTGTATTTTGGGTGTTGTTGTTGAAGATAGCCTAACAGTGTTTTCCCCTTGGTACCTCTTCTTTTCCCGCCATCAGATCGCTCCTCACCAAAGAATGTATAAAATAATAAGAATATTTTTATTGTGCTAGTCCCACTAATTTAGTATGCACCGGGTGATTATACCTCTTCTTTTCTAGACATGTGATCGCTTCTTACCAACGGTCCAAATTTCTTCAACCATAGTAAAATTTCTCATAAGGGGTAATTTTATTTTTCCCTTATTATATGTAGGTCAAAAGATCACGGGACAGCCGATCTTTGTCCCAATAATATTTGAAGTATTTGTCAAATGACATTGTGCTTGTTTGTGCAACGCACGGGTATATATCTAGTTTATAAAAAAAATACTAATAATACTTATAAAACTAAATAGGTACCATTAGATTTGTCACGAAACATACTTTTATAATATAATTTCTAACGTCGTATTAATAAATTAAACTATATATTTAGTCCCTCAAAGACACTATGATCCAAAATACGTCTAGAATTAGGTTGTGTTTAGTTGGAGGAACGTTGAAATTTGGATACTGTGGCACTTTTGTTTTTATTTGGCAAATAATGTTCAATCATAGATTAATTAGGCTCAAAACGTTCGTCTCGCGATTTACAACCAAACTGTGCAATTAGTTTTTTTTCGTCTATATTTAATGCTCTATACACGTATCGTAAGATTCGATGTGATGGATATTATAGCACTTTTTTGGAACTTTTTTTCAACTAAACACGCACTTACATTCTTTTTTTCACGGGGAGCAACCTCAGAGTTACCGAGACGAGTAACAGGAAATAGGACAGACACACTAGCCAACAAGCAAGAGCCAGGTAGTGGCCGTCAGTCAGGCACTGACTACGAGGCAGCCAGAGAGGAGAGGAGGAGCTCGATCACTGCCACCTGGGAATCCCATCCGCGCAACACAACGTCCGGCACGCGGGCCGCTCCGCCGATCGCCGATCACCGATCACCGATCACCGGAGAAGCGACCAATCAGTTTCGTGCCTCGCATCCCCCGCCACGCGGGCCCGCCGTCCGTCAGTTACTGGCGCCAAGTGTGAATCAAGGGAGCACTGGAGCATCGATGTGCTCTCCTCCCACACAGTGGAAAGTGTAGCCTATGTGGATACTAAATCATTCCTAATGTTCTTCTTTCTATAATACGGGAACGAGAACAGAGGAAGAGCACATGCAGCAAGCCTCACCGCAGTCCGAAGGCATTATTGGTGTCTTCTTCTCCACCCTGCCGTTCCGCGAGGAACATCTGCACCACCACTTGCCTTGCTCTCTGTGAAATGTTCACGCGCATGTGTTGACATGCAACCTGCAACGGACGCGGAGGTGGTAGGGGGAGCTGTGAAGCAAGAGCCAGAGGAGATCGTGGTCGCAGTAGACGGTGACGAGGAGGTGGAAGCTGAGAAGGTGGTCAAGAGGAGGAGGAGGAAGAAGAAGACGGCCTGCGATCCGCACAAGAAGCGGGCATGCGTGGATTGCACCAAGAGGTGTGCCCGGATCCATGGCCGGCCCGCTTCGGCGTCCGCATTGCCGTCTTCCAGCAATGCGCGGCCGGTCCCAGCAGTGCCGTCCTTCTTCAAGGTCATGATGGGCTACTTCTCCGAGGACATGGTACGTTTTCCCCCCTTTGTTGGATTACTTGCATTGATCTCACTGCATGTCTGCATTGTTTTATAAAGGCATAGATTCTGTGCATGTTTGCACAGAGTATGTATGGCAGGAGATACCTGAGGATTTCATTTGAGTGATACCAGAACTCATCTGAACCATGTACATTTCACACACGCAGGATATACCACCCCCATTTGCCCGGACAATCTGGGACCTGGCAGGCTCCAACATTTTTCTTGAGGACGCATTTGGGCTCCGGTGGCGCGTGCGGCTCTGCTTGCGCGACGGCGTACTGTCATTTGGGCATGGATGGAAGAACTTTGTGCTGGACCATGCCGTCAGCTGTGGCGAGTTCCTGGTGTTCAGGCAGATTGCCAGGTCGGTCTTCACCGTGCAGATGTTTGCCCCATCTGCTGTTGAGAGGCTGTATCTCTGTGAGAAGAACAAAAGGCAGAGCCGGAAGAGGAAGCCCAGGCAGAAAACAAGCTCTCCCAGCATCCAGACAGCGAAGAAGGTAACCAAGAACAGCGTGAAAAACTGTAAGAAGAGACAACGTACTGATGATCACCAAAATGGTATACGCCTGAGAGGCCGTAAGATCAAGATGGCAGCTAAGGTCTGCATCGACGACTCTGACGTTCCAGATTCTGTATCTGAGCTGAAATGTTCAGACGCATCAGAGAGAGTACCGGAGGCTGGAGCCGCAGAACCACAAGAAATTTCTGAGGCCCCTGCGGGACATGAGTGTGAAGCTCAGGAGGTGTTAGATGGAGAGGCAGAAATAGCCGATTACAGCACAATGCTTGAAGAGAATGAAAGCAATTACAATGCTATTTCTGCAAGTATTGTGCAAGTCTCTGCTGCTAATGAAATAGAGCATGGCGAGGGCTTGAATCTGCCGACAGATTTTGATGCTAGTGTACCTCTTGCTATGATGGATCTTAATGAACTGAGTATAGACGATATATTTCTGTCGGCTGATATATATGAATTTGAAAGAGATATGTGTAACCCAGAATCATTTTCTGTTGATCTGAGTATGGAAGGGCCTATTACTACTGGACAAAACTCAGGATTCAGTTGCCTTGAGGATACCCCGCAGAATCACCTTTCTTCTATGGGAGACGGTCATCGTTCTCTGATTCCAGAAGCAGTACTTTGTATCGAAAATAAAGAGATGACTGATGCACTAGGAACAGGAACATCATATTTTGTTGACTCCTCAGTGCATGATATAGACATCAACGCGCTGCCCGCTAATGAGCCTCCATCATTTGGAGAGGATAACTCTTCTCCTCAAACTGATGCTGAAATGCATTCTAATGAATGTGGATTAAGCAGCTGTAATAAGGATAAACGCAATAGTTTGCTCCCTCCCGTAAACAAGCAAGCTGCACATAAAGAATGTTAGTACTATTTTCCAACCTTTAGTTCTGAATTTACACGTACAAATTTTTTTACCTTTGTATTTGCATGTTTTTTTAGTCACCACAAAGATTCAGTACTTGTTGCAGCAGATTCTTCCATGACCACGAAGCAGGATGCACCACAAAGTGGCCAATGTAACATGCAAGATGGTATAGGACGACAGCATGCTACTGAAATCATGTCGAGAAGCGCGAAGCCTCATGAACTTCCTGATCTCAGGCAGAATCCTCTGCAAACTGGTATTACAGTGTTCATCACGATTTATGACTCCTCATGCTCTCCCAGAATTTAGAACCATGAACTGGATGGATGTTAATTTCACATATGTACCACACAACATTTAATTCATGCGTTTCAGTACAACCTGCAGGAAACGGCTCTGAATCCATCCACAGTGGAACCTCTGAATCTGGTGGTGTTCTTGCGCTCACAGCAAACAGCGTCAAGTTTTGCATCGATGTGCCTGCACCAGGGCAAACATGGCTTGTGAGTAACCCTGACTATTCTATTTCCTTCTGATCTGAGCTCACCATTCTGCACCATTGTTCTGAAAGATCTTTGTACATACAGGAGCTTCCCGGTCGACTGCCGGTTCTTCCAAGAACGAAGAAACATGGGAGGAAGGTTGTAATACTCAAGGACCCATGCATGAGACTCTGGCCTGTGCTCTACCAATGCACCCCTAGGTTCAACGGCTTCATCACCGGCTGGGTTGACATCTGCAGGGAGAACAGCCTGCAGGAAGGTGACACCTGCGAGTTCGAACTCAGCGGTAACTCTGAACTCTCATTCAAACTCCAAGTGCGCGTGCCCAATACGCAGTAGCCATTGCTACCCAGAATGATGATCTTATCTATCGTGTCTTAAGCTTGTTCTTGTGATCTGTGTCCCATCTGTTCCTTAATCCCAAAAGAAGAAACTATGTAGACTTCTGTCCACATGTTGTTGCTGCTTTCTGGCACATTTTACATGTCCAGATTGTTCCCTTTTCTTTTATTACAATGGAATATTCAGATTATCAGTGCATGCTAAGAAACAAGTGTGCTACCACTGGCTGCTATATATAGCATCCATGAAGAAAGGGAACTTTGTAGTAGTATTACAGAAAGTCAAGCGTTGTCAGTTTGGCACAACTTGAAAATGCTGTACATTCACAGAAGCACTAGATTTTTCTGCCATCCGCGGCTTCCCCTTCGAACAACTCCGACAGCGAGTCGGCCAGATCATCAGCTGTGTACCTGACAGATTTTCCAAGCTTGGGTTGCTTCTGCAGAAACGCGCAGTAAGCAGGAACCACCATGTCCGACACGGCGTTCCGCAGCACCGCTCGGAGCACGGGATCGGGGACCTCCCGGCACACCTCGCTGTCGCGCATTCTGGTAAACGCGGCGCTGAACTCCGCCAGAATTTTCGCCGGCTTGCCTCTGCCACACACGGGCATGTCCAGGAGAGCGACGACGGGGCCCCACGACGACGCGGAGTAGCTCGCTACGTGCTGCTCGATCCGGCTCCGGCGCCGCGCGGCCCACGCGCCCCCGAGCAGGGACGCCACGCCTTCGGTGTCCGCGACGCGGCTCAGCACGAAGCTGATGTTGTTCGCCAGGAAGAGGTGCCGCGAGCCCCCTGCGTCGGCGCAGGCGACAGCGAGTCTCCCCTGGAGGTTGCGTTCCAGGCCCGCGATCAGGTCCGAGACGACGCCGGCGAGGGAGCCGCGTTCGTCGTCGGCGCCCGCGTCCGCGAGGATCAAATCGAGCGTGGTGCGGTGCCTCGCCAGCAGCTCGACGCAGGTCATGGCGTCGCGCGCCAGCTGGTGGACGCCGCCAGCTGCCGCGCTCGGCGTGTGCGGGGATAGACATTCGCCTTGGATCTTGGCCATGACGCCGCTGACCATGACCCTCATCGCGCCGGCCAGTTTCGTGAGGATACCTTGCGTCCGCTCCGAGATGAACTCCTTGCGCGCGCCGCTGAACAGGAGCAGGAGGCTGGGAGCGGCGTCGGTGAGAGCCTCGTACATGGCGAGCATGTACACGAGCTTCTCGTGCGACGTGATGCTGGTGAACCCGTTGGCGAAGTCGAGCAGGATCAGGATGCGGTTCTCCGCGATGGCCAGCAAGTATTCGTCCCTGAAACCGTCGAACGCGCCTGGGTTCTGCGCGTACAGCTGCCTCCGCATGGCGACTATGGCCTTCCCTATGATCTTCGTCACCGTTGTCCACCGCTTGATCACGGCCTCCGTCGTCCGCTGCGAGCATTCAACTCGAAGAATCGACAAGAAGCTGCACCGTCACCCATCACCGTCATGTTCGTCGTCAGTCACAGCCGAGCATGCAAATCCATTCACCTTTCACTGGCAGGAAGCCAGAGAAACCAGAAGCGTTGAAGTTACCTGTCCAGCACATCGCAGGGAGCGTTGGCGAACGCCCGGAAGAGTTCCTCGGTGTGTCCAGCACGAAAGATCCGAAGCGCGATCTCGTGAAGGACGGACACACCTGGGGAGCAGATGAGATCGAGGTCGTCCCAGACCTCGGCGTCCAAGAGGGCCGCGACCTCGTCAGGCACGCTCGAGCTCGCCCTCGACCGGCTCCCGTCGGACACGTCGACGTCCCCACCAGTGCCCGCCGAGGCGGAGCTGGCCCTCTCACCGGCGCTGGGGAAGACCAGCAGTGACAGGCCAGTGGAAGCAAGCGAGAGCCTGTCGACGGCGCCGCGCAGCCGGGAGCCGTTCCAGACCCTGACACGCAGGAACTCCTCCACCATGCGCGACGCGGCTGCGCCGACGGCGCTGTCCAGGCGGCGGCGCGCGGAGGCGGCCGCGGGGAGCGGGAAAGGGCCCTCCGCCGCCAGGAGGAGCACCTCGTCGACCGCCGCCAGGAGGCCTCTGTTCGTGTAGCTCGCGTCGGCGCCCCAGATGCCCGAGTCGGCGCCAGGGCAGCGAGTCCACTGGAGCAGGGCGTGCTCCGCGAGGGCGAGCCGCTCCTCCGCCTGCGTCTTCGGCGCGACGACGACACCGAACGCTGGCTTCCCAACGGAGGCTCCCATGATGCGAGGGGGCCGACCGGCCGAGTGGCGGTGAGTCCGGCGCGCGTTGCCGTGTGTTGTTGAAGCGGGGAGGCGATGCCCCTATCCGAAAAGGAGATTACTGGAGCCTGGAGGGCATCACTAGCATTACTGAGTTTTGAGGTCCAGTAGTGCACGCGGAGATGGTCAAGTAGTAATAATCTAACTTGACTCCCCGTCCACGGCTCTCCGGTAAACTTGGCCCGGGCCAAGCCCGCTGGTACGACCTGAAAAAGCACGCACGAGCGCGGACCGGCACGAGGCCCATCGTGCCCGTGCCTGGCACGGCTCGATGGTAGTGCCATGCCTAAGCCGTGATTTCGGCCTGCAGTGCCGGCACGGGCACGGCATGAAAATTGGGCCAGCACGATGCGGCCCGGTCATTCTCTACCATTGGATTACCTGAGATGCATTACAACCGTTCGATGTAGCATATAAACAAGGCAACGTATCAGGTGCAAACTAATCAATCTGTGTAAACTTGAAAACTACCAATCAGGACCACTAGACACTGATTCAATGGATGGGGTGAGAGGTGGGATTTTTTTGCGCTTAAGCCCCATCACCCCATCCATTTGATCAACATCTAGTGGTCCTGATTGATAGTTTTCAAGTTTGCACAGGTTGGTTGGTTTACACATGATATGTTGCATATAAACAAAAATCCTAAACCTAGCTCCCATATCCAAGTCGCTCAGGCCTCACTTGGCCGCCTCTCCCTCTCAATCGCGCTTCTGTACGTCTCCAAGTCTCATGACCCGGCCTCTCCTCGCGCCGTCGAGCGGACATGCAGCCTCGCCTTCGTGTCCGGCTCCGGCCTCTTCCACCTAGCGGAGCTCCTCGCGCGGCCTCTTTCTTGCGCAAGCGGAGGCGGTGCGGCCCTGCCGCAAGAGGCACGACGACGGCGGCGGGGCGCACAGCGGCGCGCGCAGGTGCTCCAGCCTCGAGCGGGCGCGTGCGACGGCGGCACTGGCGCGGCCTCAAGCGGGCGCGCACGATGGTGGCGGCGCGGCATCACGTGAGCGCCCACGACGGCAGCAGCGCGACTCCACCAACCTCCATGAGCGGCGCAGCGACGACGAAGCGTTGGCGCATTCTCGGGCCGACACGAGCACGATGGGTTGTCGTGCCTGTAGGCACGGCATGGCACGACTAACCGGCTATAGTGCCGTGCCTGGGCCAAGGTGCCGGCACGGTGGCACAACGAGGCACGGCACGGCTAATCCACCATGTCCGATAGTGCCGTGACTAGTCGTGCCGTGCTCAACCGTGCCTGTGCCTGTGCTGTGCTGTGCCTGTGCGGTGCGGCCCGGTTGGCCAACTATATTGCAAGGAGATTGGCAAAGCTTAGGATCGGAGGGGGGAACTGTAGAAGATGTTATATATCGATAGGTGATGGAGTTGATGGTGTGCGTGGTGTGTGTTATTAGTTGCATCGGCTGGGTTTTATTTATAGCTGCTGCATGCTGCCTTGAGGCTCCGTGCATTATGCAGGCAGAAGCAGGACGAACGGCAGGGAGTCTCAGGACCCCACGGCCACGGCATTCCGAGCTCTCGTCCATTCTTTGGTTGTGTGCGTGCATTTATGCATCGAATAGGTTCGGTATACGTTGGGTTCAATCCAAGCTCATTCGTCAACCGCACGGGAGAATCAGAACCTGCAGCTGAACTTTGAACCTAATAATGTTTCTAAGTACACAACCAGCCTTCATGCATGCATGTGCCTGGCTAAGTCTCAAATATGATATGCATCGTCCATCGTCGTACATGTTTTTCTTTTTCCTTTTTTATTTGAATGGCATTGGTTGGTGAATTATTTTTTAAAAACATAGAGGAAAAATGCATCAAAAAGTTTTCAAAGAACATGTGCTAACCGTGGTCCTTGACTGTGGTAAAGATCTCCATTGTTATGGACTTCAAAGTGTTACTCGCCAAGTGAACAAGATCTGCGTGTATATTTGGCACCCAAAACCTTGTGCAATATGTTCTCTTAATAAGAACGAAACATATGTTGTTTATCAAAAAGCAATATATTTGTAGCTCGATGTATATATATTATTAGGAATAAACAAAACGACTAGTGCGTGCATTACATATTATATTAGATGATTCTTTCCGCTTGAGCTTGATTATGGAATCGGTTAGTGACGAATCTTGGTATCTTATATTCCGTTTGACTGGTCCTACACCATAGAAAAAACTAAAGGTACACGATGAGAAAAAGCAGAGGTCAAGGACGTACATATAGGAGTACGTGATGGAGGGCCGTTCTTTTTCCCAAGCTTTTTTGTGATCATTATGGAGATGCACACCAATATATTTGTAGTCATGTCCTGTAAACAAGAAGCAAAACATGCAGAGATTATAAAGACTAAAACTTAGTATACAAACAAGCGCATGCATGCATGACATTAGTGACCCAGCTAGGAATCATATGCTGAGAGCATCTCCAGCACTTCTCCAATATCTCCTCCTATCCCCATAAAACTGTCATACTAGAAACAGCTATACTTTTTTCTTGCTACAGCAATTCCTCAATATCTCTTTCTTTTTTTTGTGGCCACCAATATTTTCTCATCTCCCCTCAAAGAAAGGGGGAGATACAACTCCCCCAATACCATAGGGACCATCCCAACTACCACTTTTCAAACATATTTTCTCTTACACTCTTGTAGGACCTACCTTTCATATGGGTATTGGGGGAGATATATTGAGGGCACTGCTGCAACATCTCCCCCAACAAATCTAGAAAGTGATGTTGGGCTACTTCAATACCATTTTATTGGGGGAGTTGTATTGGGGGACTGCTGGAGATGTTCGGATAGCCTAACAACTGAACAAACTCTTGTAACACCCCAGGTGTTTGCCATCAGTTAAGCAATGGGTTTGAGCTCAAACATGGCATATTAAGTAATGATGAAGATGTCAAGGTCAAACCTATGGAAATGAGCCCCAACCTAAACTTGGATATTGCACCATTGCTTTACATATAGGCCCTTTTCAAGATATATGCTTAGCTGGTGTTATTTGAATATCTTCATGTGTCTCACATCAATACCCATCTATATTGATCCATGAAAAAGTTTCGTAAAGTTTGGAATCAAGAAGTCACATGAAATAATGAGTTATGTCCTTGCTTGAATTATTTTATAAAGTGAATGGAATTCTCGATCGTCAACCAAATCTTGCAACCATGCCCAAATGACTCTAGATGAACTCTACAACAAAAGTCATAAAAGGTTCATGTTGAGCAAATGCTAAGAAAATGCTCCAATGGGTCACAAAGGATAATTTAAGCTTTATCGTGATCATACTTTGGCCAAAGTAGAACTATAGCTTCTGCACCTGTTTTAAAGTTGGACATTAAATAAAAGTTGAAGCTCATGTTATGTAGAAGAAACTTTGTTTTTGGAGTATACCATGGATCGGCTCGGAACCAAGTCTAGCAGTGGCTCAAAGTTGGAACCTGCTGCTGATTTCAGCACTTCGAAATATTCTAAGTCTAGAAATTCATTGACATCGGCATTGGCGTCTCACGTTCTCTAAATTTTGTTAAGCAACTCGATTTGGTCCAAAGATAAAAGTTGGAGTGTACATGATGGCGAAGAGCATGTATAAAGATAGCACTCAGTTGACTTCATTTTGGGTATCAATTTTTGGAAGTTGTTAATCGCCGTTAATGCAGTGACAATGATGTCTTGGAGTGTCATTAACCACTAATATGCTGCCCCAATGGCTATGAACCATGAATCAAGTTTGTAGAGCATTAGAAGAAGAAGAATTTTGCTTCAAGGCCCATAGCCCAGTTCGGAGCAGAGCTGGCCCAAAAACGGACTCCAAGGCGGGCACAGTGACGCTCACCGTGTTCGACGAAAGGGCGCCGTGGCAGCCATGCAGCACAGCTCGCGCTTCATTGCCGCCGCGCGTCCGACCTCCGCGCCACGCGCCGCCCTGCTCCCTGCGCCTCCAAATGCGGATGCCCGAGCTGCCCTGGCATCCCGCACTCGCTTCCTCTGGCCTCCCTCGCTCTCCCAACGCGCTCGCTCGCCCTGCTGCCGCGCGGCTGCTCGCCATGGCCATGGCCGCCATTGCCAAGCGACAGAGCTCCTCCCAACCACCGCCTTGCCCCTCTGCTGTGCCATGCCTTGCTGCTCACTCCACCCACCGCTCCCTTCTCCTTTCCCACCTCACGCAGAGCCTCCTGGCCGCCGGTGTCGCCGCTTCGATTCGCCGCCGCCGAAGCTTGTAACGCCATTGTGCCCCTCGCCTCTGCGCCCCCGCTCTCCTCACGACAGTGGCACATCCTTGCAGCTTCATTGCAAGCGCTCTCTGGACCTCCTTGACCGGCGCCATTGGTCATTGTTGCTCCCGCCGTCGGAGCAACCGCCGTCGTCGTGTGGCTATCTGTGGTCATGCCGCCATAGGTCATGTCAGGCCAAGCAAAGCAAGCAACAGCGTGTGCGTGCGGTCCCCCTGGTCCTCCCCGCCACCCCATCGCCGCCGACGAGCTTCCTCCGGCCGGCAACAGCAAGCCCGGCGGGCTCCTCTGTTTTGACCGCGTGAAGGACTTCGGGCATAAATTTGAAGAAAGGGAGGGATCGTTCTGTGAATCTGTGACTCATATGAATAGTGCAGTAAAGATTCTGTTCGTTCAGGTTTTATTTGTGGAAACTTCAGGGTCCTTGATGCAAGATTTAGATCCCTTTTCTTTGATTTAGGCAGATTTGAATGATCCACTTTGAAAATTCATAGTAATTAGTAGAAAAATCGTAAAATAGTAAATGAGGACTTTTTGGAATCCTTATGAAATTGTCTATGCAGTAGATCTATAATATTACATGTTTTAGTTTAAATATTTTGCTGTAAAAATAGATCTATGCAGTTAGGTTCTTAATACTAGTTATGCATTGTCTTTTTCATAACTGAAGTGGTGGTGCTCAAATAAATGTGAAAATTTTATGGAGTGTTACTCTGGTGATGTT